TGTCATCAATTATTATAGCTCTTTTAGGTTAATGCTCATTTAGTATTACAATTCTCTATATTGAAGGCCTTGAATCAGCTTTTAGGCCAATGATCCAATGACAATAACAACAATAACAACAATAACGTAAAGTGGGCTTTATATTATTTTATGCCATTTATCCTCACAAGAACTCTATAAAGGAAATACTCCTGTAGATGAAGAAACCGAGGTTCAAAGCATTTAAGTAACTTATCCAAGGTTGGAGCTAGTGAAGGGCAGAGCTGTGTGCTTAACTATGACATGATGCAGTCTCTTAATCTTAAATCATTCAATCGCCCTGAATGATCACAAGTCAGTATCTCAGAAACAGCCCAGACATGTCCACTCTCTCCACCTTGGAGCATGGCCCCTGGCTCACTTTCCATCTCCACCTTCCAGAAAGGCTGAGGCAGCCTTCTTTGCCTCTCTGAGTCCTACAAAGAAAGAAGGAAAGAAAAAGGAATATACAGAAGACTTTAAAAGAGAAAGAATTATGAGAATAGGATAAAAAAAAAAACCTCTCCTCTTTCATTAGGCATGGATCGGGATGAGGATGGCTTGCTTGTCCACTTGCCAAAGCAGTTTAAGGCAAATGCAAAGTAAGCAAGGTTATGGGAGGGAGGAAGAGGGAAGAGGAGACAGATAGTGTATTATATCAATTCTCATTCTATGATGTTGAGAGTTTTCTGATTATCAATACAATCTTTCTTACACATAAATGCACTTTTTAGCATTTTATTACAACATTTAGAGTTTACTTATAGCCTTTCAATTACCAAGTTTATCTTAAACTCTCGTGCATGCTTTAGCATACAGATCTTTGGAACAACTGATTTGTACACCAAAGATTTGGTTAGAATCTTAATTCCTAGAGAAGATAGGTTCATTTGAATTTCTAATTTAGGATGTATTTTCATGTTTTTTTTTTGTTAAAATGTTTTAATTGGTAAAATTTACAATAATTTGGCTCTTTTGTCCTCCCAAATCAAAGAATTTAGAAGAGAAGGAAAGTCAAAGAGTATGTGCTCAATATACAAGACAATGTTAAAAATCAGTTCATTTTAGCAGCAACATTGGGAATTTATAGTATTAGCAAACAGGATGTATTTTCCTCAAATCTGGGTTTGATAAATGACTTGGCCACATCTGTTACTCTGCATGAACAGCCCCTTAGCATGAATTCTAAGTCTTACCAGGAGACACTGGTTTATTGTACATTTAGAGTGGCTTTACCGTGTGTACGAAAAGTCTTATGTAAAAGAATGTTAGCCACAAACGCTGGGAAACAGCCCAAGTGTTCAGTAATAAGAAACTGGTTAAATATACTATAAACCCATAAGACGGAGATTTCACATCCGTTAAAAATGCAGTATCTATACTTATATGGAATAATCCTCACGACATTTATGTATATATTTTTAACTTTATTGAGGTCATATTGGCTTATAATATTGTGTACATTTCAGATATACATTATTATATTTCAATTTCTGTGTAAACTGCATCGTGTTCACCCCAATAGTCTAGTTTTTATCCATCACCATACTTATGTGACCCCTTAGCCCTTTTGCCCTCCCCTCACTCCCTTCCCTTGTGTTAAGCACCAATCTGTTCTCCTTATCCATGTGTTTGTTTATCATTCATATATGAGCGAAATCATATGGTGCTTGTCTTTCTCTGTCTGACTTATTTCACTTAGCATGATACCCTCAAGGTCCATCCATGTTGCTGCAAATGGCACAATTTTGTCTTTTGTATGACAGAGTAGTATTCCATTGTATACATATACCACATCTTCTTTATCTATTCATCCGTTGACAGGCACTTGGGTTGCTTCCATGCTCAAGACATATTTTTAAATGAGAAATGAAAGATGGAGAATAGTAGCTACAGAAGACTACAGTTTATTTTTACTTTAAAAAAATTTTACTTTTCATTTTGAAATAATTTTGCATTTACAGTTACAAAAATGGTACAAAGAATTCCTGTTTATCCTTCACCCAGTTTCTCCAAAAGTTAACCCCTCACATAACAGCAGTGCAACAATCTAAACTAGGAAATCAACATTGATGCAATTCCATGAACTATTCTACAAACTTTTTTCAAATTTCTTTCAGTTGTCCCACTAATGTCCTTTAGTGTACTTTAATCTTGGGCAACATCTCCAATTCATCAGTCTTTTCCTTTTATGACTTTGACACTTTTTAAGAGTATTCACCAGAAATTTTGTAAAATGTCCCTCAACTGGGTCTTCCCAATGTTTCCTTATGATTAGATTCAGGTTAAAATATTTTTTTTTGGCAGGAATATCATAAAAGTGGTGCTGTGCCCTTCACAGTGCATATCAGGAGATGCATGATGTTGACATATCTCATTGCTGGAGCTGTCAACGTGATCACTTGGTTAAGGTGGTGTCTGCCAGGGTTCTCCATGGTCAAGTTATTATATTTTCCTTTTTTAGTTAATAAGTATCTTGTGGGGAGTTAATTTGAGACTATGTGAATATTCTGTTACTCATCGTACTTTCTTGTCTACTAATTTGAGCATCCATAGATGAATTTGCCTGAAACAATTATTACTGTGATGTTTCCACTTGTGTTTTAAACAATGACGTACATACTTATGCCTGTATCCATGCAGAATATCTCAGCAATGATACATCAGAAACGGCAAAAAACAGTTAGCTCTGGGGAAGAGAACTCGGGCAGAGGGTGGCTAGACAGCCAAATCAAGGTGCTGTTTCACCATGTAACTTTTCCGCAGTGTGAATTTACCAGGTTCATATCTTATCATTTGGTGAGGGATAGGGTGGGAACAAATCTGTTGATTTAAAAAGTAAAATAATCTTTTCAAATGACGAAAGAAAATCTTTTGCTATCAAATTGATAAATTTGTGATAAAAATTACTGGAAGAGAAGAGAAGCTAAATTCTACTTAACAAAAAGCATTTTACTGTTTCTTTAAATAAAAATCAAGGACCATTCCTTATGTTCTCTGAAAGCATGGCTACTACCACTGGGGTTAGTGATCCAGAACTGTAGCTAGCTGGTTGGTTCATTTTACCTTTAAAATATAAACAGGATTAAAATCTTACTTGTTGCAACTTGTGATAGATTTTTAAACAAGTTCTTCATAATCTGTCTTTTGGCATAAATATTAATTCTATAATATTTATATTCTATAATTCTATAATATGATAAACAGAAACATCAGTTCAGCAGCAGAATATGGCACACCTACTATTGAAAGCAGCCATGTTGAGCAAGTGTATTAGAATTTTATTTGAAACATCATATTCCTTTTCCCAACTAAGAGAAAATATTTGCTTTAAAAATTCCAGGTCATATGCAACTGTGATTTCTTATCACAAGCATATTCTTATGACAAAACAGAGAAGTTTTAGAACCATTCAGAATGTTCTGGAAGCACTGACTCTTCTTAAGCTCTACTTGTCAAATGCGACATCTTTGTGTTGCTTCTCTGGCTGGTGGGGGTGCCAGTCTTCCCAGCTCGCGAGCACAATGGGTCGTATGTATATTTGTAACGTGGCTGTCTATCCTTTCCTTCATTAGAAGGTCCCTCCTTTAACATGTGAAATTAAGTAGAAGACTTCATCTTACAGATCTCTTGAGTTGTCCACACAGAAGTCTCTTCAATGTTGTGCGGGATTTCCCATTGCTCCCATTTCCACCGTGCCCCCCGGTGGTGATATTTTTGACTCTTGTTCTGTTTCAATCCTGTCATCTGTGGATGAAATAATGCTCCCCTCGCTAGAACCACAGGAGAGATGGTGAGGGGAAAATGTGTGTGTATTTTTAAACTGGCTTATTTCTTTAACCTTCCTGAGACTTGTGTAGTGGTTAAAATAGCACTGTCAACTAAAACTTTCGGCAGCGATGGAAATGTACTATAATTGGCACCATCTGATACAGCAGTCACTAGCCACATGTGGCTATTGGACACTTGAAATGTGGCCAGTGCACCTGGAAAACGGAATTTTTGGCTTTATTTAATTTTAATTAAAATTTAAATGGTCACATGTGGTTCGTGGTTACTGTTTGGGACAGTACAAGTTGAAAGTGCTTTCTGGAATGTGCTTCTTGCTAGCTGTGTGATCTTAGGTAAGTCCCTTAATTTCTCCAAGCCTAATTTTTCTCATCTGTTGGATAGAGATAATTATGTACCTACTTCATAGGCTTGGTTTGAGGATTAAATGATATATTCAGAACACAATGCTTGCTTTATGAAAAGAGCTCAATAACTCTTAGCTGCTATTTATTATGCAAGTTATAATGGCCCCAATCCACTTTATTGGCAGGAGAGTCTCATCTTTTTTGGCGATTACCGCCTCTAAATGTTTCTAAGTTTCCTTTGATGCACACTGTGGCTATGGATTAATGCTTTTTGATGTTTCTTTGCAACCACCTCACTGGTGGGCGTGGGACAGGAAGTTAGTGAAGGTTTCTTAGTGAACTGGCCCACCTGCAGTCTTTTTTTATTTTTTTGAGGAAGATTAGCCCTGTGCTAATATCTGCTGTCAATCCTCCTTTTTTTTTTTTTTTTGCTGAGGAAGACTGGCCCTTAGCTAACATCCGTGCCCATCTTCCTCTACTTTACATGTGGGACGCCTGCCACAGCATGGCTTGCCAAGCAGTGCCATGTCCGCACCCAGGATCCAAACCGGCGAACCCTGGGCCGCCAAACTAGAACGAGTGAACTTAACTACTGTGCCACCGGGCGGGCCCCCACCTGCAGTCTTGAAACCTCATTGGCTTCCATGGTTCCCCCAGACTCCAGTGTGAACTCTGCCTAGGTGCATGCGGTGGGGGTCACATTCCTCCTTGACATTATGCTCAGTCAGAGGAATCCCCAAACAATGGGAGGGGGCCCCAAATGAGCACTTTAATAGAACAGCTCTTTCAGTTTGTACACACAGGCACTTTCCCCAAGGCTCTCATAGACAGGGTGTCTTTTGACAGGTTCTGGCGTCTGCTGCATACTGTGTCCATTCCTGTGCTGCCCGCAGACTATGAAACCCTCAATCACCATGGTGAATTTCCACTTGGAAGATCTGTTGTCCTGTCTTCACTGTGATGTCTTGGCATCACTCGAGGTAAACCCTGTGACTCTGGGTCCTGGGCTATTTACTCCCTTGAGACTTCTCATCTCTAAATAATTTAGAGCAAAATGGACAAGTGGGAGGAGGGACTCCATCTAACTCTACCTGGTAGCATCTGAGACCCAAATGCAAACAGCTCTCCTGGGGAAAGATGGGGAGCCTTAGGCCCTTCACGTCCTCTAACTTTTGACCTTTCCTAACTTAGTCCCTAAAAATTCAAGCCCCATTCTTTTGTGATTCCTTCCACAAGCAGTGGACTTTCCTAACAATCACCAAAATATGAGGGCATTGATCTCATAGTAAATTCTTCTTAATTTAAGAGTTTATTGCTATCTAAAGAGATTTCAAGGCAGTCCTAGAGAGAATATTTGTTTTACAGGACAATTGTGAAATATTACGTATGAACTTACTGTGCTAGTGATAAGAATTATGTCTATTCAGAAGAGAGAGGTAAATATGTTTCAATCAATTTTTTAAAAAGTGGTGGCATGTGTATTTCCACCTATTTCTTTTTGAGCCTCTTCACTACAAATGTTTATTTAAACGAAGAAATAATCAGTAGCTCTTATTTTGTATAGAAGGATTAGCAAAATTCAATCCTTTGTGATATGCCATGGGGAGAAGCATTCTGAAATTCATATTCATTTTAAGACAATGAATATATAATAAGAATGAATCATTGAATTTAAACCTGTGGGTTATGTGTACATGCTTTAAACATTACTTCAACAACAAAGCAAGAAAATCAGGAAAATTTTTCTTGCAAAAGATCCATAATACAAAAGTGAAGTATACCAAAGGAATAATAATATAAAACATCCTTTCACACTCATGTACTTTGTAATTATTAGTTAATGATCCTGTAATTTTTGGCATGACCTTCTTTTGAAATTTCCTTTATGTATTCTGATGTTTGGATTTCATGTGTAGTATTCACAGTTCTTGTGTACATGAAAAGGAGGAAGATTTTATGAATAAAAGTTAATATTACTGTTTCAAATGAGAAGAAATGTTTTTAAATTTTAAAAATATTGCTTAACCAAAGAGTGCCTTTAATTATAGAGGAATATGTGGTCAAAGCCAGAATATGAACGGTAGAATATTTTCCAATATAAGCCTACTGAAGCCTGGGGATTATTAATTAATTGTGATTAGTTGATATAACTTCAGAAAATTTTAGCCTCTGATGTGTGACAACACTGTATTGCAAAGAAACTGATCTTCGTTGCAATAGTCATCAAGCTCAAAAACAAAATTAGCAATATCAATTTTGTCTATTATTTTAAAAGAATATATTGTTCCACGTGAGCAAATTTTCTAGATAAGTGAAGTTCCCCACCTCAAGCACTGATATTTTCTTTAGTAAGATTGTAAGTTCCCTGAGGACAGGGACCAAAAGTTGCTTATTTAAAATATATTTGCTAGTGCAAGAACTACGGCATTTGGTGCAGGCACTTAAAATACAGCTTTGGACTTTTACATTATTTATTTTTCACAGTCTCATTAAAAGCAGCAGGGTGGGGTAGAAGGAATCTTACCTGCACAGTCGGGTACAATTATCTGTTTATGTGTTTTCATCCTCTTGTAGACACTTAGCTTTCTGTTTATGTTGTCTCTGTATCCTGAGCAACCATCATGGTACCAGCTCAGTGGCCCTCACTAAGTGTCAAATGGCTTGACCTGAAGTGCTTTGGAATTAGAATGTCTGAGTGTGTATTCACCTTGCCAATTACTAGCTGAGTGACTTTTTGCCAATTATTTTCCCTGAGTCTCAGTTTCCTCATCTGTAAACCTGGGAAATGAAAGCCAAGTTTTCTGAGACTTGTGTAAGGTGGTTCCTGTGTGCGCACCTAACCCAGTGTCTGGCATATAATAAGCACCCAATAAATGTCTTCCCTTCTCTTCGTTTGTTTATTTTCAGGGCAGATATTCTTTTCCTTCGTTTTATAGATGAAGTCATTGAGGTGTAGAAAAGTTACGTGACGTACCAAAGTTCAGTTTTACATTTAGAAAAAACACCAGAATTAGACTCAATCTCCTGACCTCCTGCTCATGTTTCTGCTCTTAGATCATGCCACCTCATGTGTGTTTAACACAGTCCACCAATAGTTATTGGATTTGGGGGCTCCAGCTCAAACGAAGAAATAGATAAGGGAACAAATTTCAGACTAAAGGGCCATGAGAATTGTATTAATTTATGCAACAAATGGTCCTTCATTGTAGGTTTAATAAAAATTGCTGTTTGGTCTTATGGAAGATTAAAGTTGAATGTGGCAAAGTTATCGCCTTAAAGACTCTACAAGTGGTAGAAATAAAAACATGAATCCGAAGGATGACGATGCAGTGCAGTGCGTAATAGGATCCTCACCAGTGGTGTAAAGGGCCAAGGGAATGTGGAGAGGTGGGAGGGGTCACTTCTAGAAGGTAGCATGTTTGGGCAGGTGCAATGAACCCCACTCCGTCACGGTGGTGTAGACCTAAGGGGACTTGAGTACTGCTCATTCTCAAGTTCTTCGGTCAATGTTACTTATTCTTTGTTTTAGGTACTGTCATCATAGGAAAACACCTGGATTTGGATTCAAAGACAAAGCTGTTTATAAAACCAGTTGTGCAATTACTTCTGTTGCCTTGTCCCTATCTATAACAGCTGTTCTGGAAAGTACTGCATTTGCTTCCCACATTTAATTAGTCACTAATGACCAACACGGGCTATAAATGAGTTCTTTGCCCATTGTTGATGATTCAGGTCAAGCACGGCAGATGGTCCCTTATGCTGAATTCTCCAACAAGCATTTATTACGAGAAGATGGTCGAATCAAGTTCAATAGAACAGCCAAGAGCAAACAGTTTGCAGATGGCCAGGTTCCTAGCATGGGGATATGGTTCCTAGCCTTCCTTTTGAAGCAGACTTTCCTTTCTGCTTCCTTCTTACTCCTTCCTTCTTTTCTTTTCTTTCTTTCTTTCTTTCTTTTTTTTTTTTTTTTGCTCTTTTTATTTCCTATGTTCCTACCCAAGGGGAGTATGCCAAAAAAAAAAAAAGAAAGAAACTATGATTTCTTTCACCTTCCCAGGTGAAATTGACAATAAATTTAGGGAGATAAAACCTGAAACATAAAATGATATGTGAATACAGATAAGTGCAGAGTGAGGCAACCAAACCTGTATGCCTAACGGTGAAGTCAGTAAGTGATCCACTTGAGGTGGGGTTTGCCAGGAAAGCTTCCTAAAGCCACTTTGCTTACTTTCTTTCCTGCTTGCTCCAAAGCAAGTTACTTCTGGTTCTAGTCGTTTAATTCCGTATACATTTTGTTCTTTATGCACATCATCTGGATGTCTGCATTTTTGGGGTTCTTTTTAATATCCAATCCAAGCTAACTGATGCCTAATTTTCTTGTTTCCCAGTGTTTATGTAGTATTCAAGCCTGAGGCTAATGTGTGATTGGTCTTTTTTTCTCCATATATCCTCACATTGGTGTGACTATAGCTTCCACACCGCAATTACAATGATTGTGTACAGGTGATGGTGATCATGAGAGGCCTTGTTTGGACCACTGTTTGATTCCATACTCCAAATGAAAACTTTGCATTGCTCAAATAAAGCAAGGGAAAGCCTTGGGAGTGTAAAGGCAAAGAACCAATATTTACAGAGCACATGCTATACTGGATACTGTGCTGCGTACTTTAGACAAGTCCACTCAGCTGTTGCTCACAATAAGTTCAGCTTGCAGATGAAGGAACTGAAGTTCACAGAGATAAGGCAACTTGCTTAAGATCATACAACTTGTATACGATGGAGCTACGATTCAAACCCAGGTCTCTCTCACTCCCAAATCTATAGCTTTTCTACTATGCTAAAAAGCTTGCCTTAATAGATGCCTTGGAAAGGATTCCCAGATGCTGGGACTGCAACAGAATCCCAGACAGGTCACTGCCACCAAAACCACTGCCACTGCCCACTGAGGGGAAGAACTGGAGTCAAGGGTTCCTGGTTGCTCCAGGAAATACTATGGAGACCGAGTGATGTGTGTTAGGAGAGGGGCAGGGAGGAGGGGAAGATAAGTGTGGAAAAAATGCTCCTCTATCATTAGGTTTAGATTCAGCCATGAACCTTCTGCACTAAAGAGGTCTGTGTTCCCAAAGTCACAGCCTGGTCTCTCAGCCTGGCTACTTGTTCACAACTACTTTGGGGAGAGTACAAGTGTTGTATCTATGAAGTCTAGATGGTGTCATTCACCTTGCGGATCCAGAACCAATGTCTCCTCTGACCATCTTAGGGCAGGGACCAGCCATCTGGTTAAGTCTCATTCAACTGTTGTGGTGTCTCTTTCCCTTAAGAGTCTCTTTGCCTTTTTTGGCATCTAGCCTTGGATAAAGCCAATGCAGTCCATCCTATCAGCTTTTATCATTTTTAATATCTGGGGAAATACACAGTGATCTTGGTTCCTTTCGCTTAGAAGCCTTTGGGCTCTTTATGTAAATTGCACACCTATTTCCAGAAATCTTCATGCTTACTTCTCAGTGACACGAGAGAGGGTTGGCTCGCCCTCATCTGCTAAATCCTGGAGCCTGGTCTCTAATTCACTCAAAATGTGCCCTCTGTTTAATCTCAGAAGCAGAGTAACCAAATCTGTGCTCCTTTCTGAACAAGATGACAGTCCTCTCTGTGGCCTGGTGCTTCTCAAGCTCAGCCCAGTCTTGCATCTCCTAATTTGCCCATCCTGCTGCCTTCCATGAAGCAAAGCCAAGTGGAGGACGAAGAAAGGCAATAGGAGGAAAGCCCACTTGGAACAAAATACAGACACACAGGAGCTGAAGGAGGGGGCGCAAGAGAAGGGGATGGAAGTGAGGGAGTGAGTTTTCATTACAGAAGAGGTTTGACTTTGAGGCACTTTTTTCCTGGTGACAGGGACGGTGACCAGTTGAAGCTAATGAAGCTTAATTAAGCTTCAGGTCTCTCACTTGCATGGGTCGCTTCCAAGGCCCTGGGAGAGACT